AGGGTAGATCTATGGGGCAGGGTGGATCTATGGGATCTATGGGATCTATGGGGCGATCTATGGGGTCAATGGGGCAGGGGGGCTCTATAGGTGGATCTATGGGGCAGGGGGGATCTATGGGTGGATTTATGGGTGGATCCATGGGGCGCTCTATGGGATCTATGGGTGGATCTATGGGGCAATCTATGGGATCTATGGGGCAGGATGGATCTATGGGGCGATCTATGGGATCTATGGGTGGATCTATGGGGCAATCTATGGGATCTATGGGGCAGAGCAGATCTATAGGTGGATCTATGGGATCTATGGGGCGCTCTATAGGATCTATGGGTGGATCTATGGGGCAGGGCAGATCTATGGGATCTATGGAGCAATCCATGGGATCTATGGGGCGCTCTATGGGATCTATGGGGCAATCTATGGGGCAGGGCGGATCTATGGGGCAATCTATGGGGCAGGATGGATCTATGGGGGGCTCTATGGGATCCATAGGTGGATCTATGGGGCAGTGCAGATCTATGGGATCTATGGGGCGATCTATAGGGTCTATGGGTCAATCTATGGGTCAGGGCGGCTCCCGATTGGAGGAGCAGGTGCGGGAGGGGCGGGGCCTGGCGGCTCTGGGGGGGTGGGAGCTGCTGCGGGCGCTGCTGGTGCTGAGTCTGTGCGCACAGCCCTGGCTGGAGCGGGACCCCGAGAGGGTGAGAGGTGACCCCAAAACGGGGATTCTGATCCCAAAATGGGGATTCTGACCCTAAAATGGGATCCCGAGAGGGTGAGAGGTGACCCCAAAACGGGGATTCTGACCCTAAAATGGGGATTCTGATCCTAAATGGGGACCCCGAGAGGGTGAGAGCTGATCCTAAATGGGATTCTGATCCTAAAATGGGATCCTGATCCTAAATGGGACCCCGAGAGGGTGAGAGGTGACCCCAAAACGGGGATTCTGATCCTAAATATGGGATCTGATCCTAAAATGGGATCCTGATCCTAAAATGGGATCCTGATCCTAAATATGGGGATTCTGATCCTAAAATGGGGATTCTGATCCTAAATATGGGATTCTGATCCTAAAATGGGATCTGATCCTAAAATGGGGATCCTGATCCTAAAATGGGGATTCTGACCCTAAAATGGGGATTCTGACCCCAAAATGGGGATTCTGATCCTAAATAGGGACCCCGAGAGGGTGAGAGGTGACCCTAAATGGGATCCTGATCCTATATATGGGATCCTGATCCTAAATATGGGATCTGATCCTAAATATGGTATCCTGATCCTAAATGGGATCCTGATCCTAAATATGGGATCCTGATCCTAAATATGGGATCCTGATCCTAAATATGGGGATTCTGATCCTAAATGGGGATTCTGACCCTAAAATGGGATCTGATCCTAAAATGGGGATTCTGATCCCAAAATGGGGATTCTGATCCTAAATAGGGACCCCGAGAGGGTGAGAGGTGGTCCTAAATGGGAT